ACCACCAATGTCTTGACTTTGAAGGAATTTTTTTACTGTGTTTAGAATGGTAATTTGTTAGACGTGCCGCTTGAGGGTAGTTCGTTTACTTGGTTCAGAGGAGGAGAATCCTCGTCCACCAATAGGCTGGACAGATTCCTGGTCTCGCCAGAAATCCTTGTTCTGTTTTTGAACCTATCACAGTTTCGCTGTTGAGGAGTCTCTGTAGCCACAATCCAATATTGTTAGAAGCCGAAGAAGCAGTCAGGAAAGACGAGACTCTTTAAGTGGTTTTCCCATTGGGCTGATGATTGTGGATTTACGCAAATGATTAAGAATGTTTGCGGCAACAGTAAAAATAAAGTGGTGTGCTCTTTGTTGAAGGACATGAAGGAATTAGAAGAGTTAACTATGCTCCCTGGTTACAATAGTGAGATTCAAGTGGAATTAAAAAATCTCAAGGTCGAGCTCTAGTCAAGATACAGAAGATAGGAAAGGGAGTGTTTGCAGAAATCTAGGCTAAAATGGTTCAAGGCGGGAGATCAAAATACAAATTTTTTTAATCTCACCGCAATTAGGAGAGGTTGCGCAAATTTGATAAGTAGAGTTCGACTTGGAGATAAAGTATATCAGAAGCCGAGAAAGATTTCCAAAGTGTGTGAGAGCCATTTTAGAAGAAGGTTCAATACAATAAAACTATACCAGTCAAAAGATTCGATGTGGGTTTAAGCAAACTTCAGTCTTCATCAAAGAAATCTTTAGAAGATCCTTTCTTAAAGAATGAAATTTGGAGTGCTATTGGTTCTCTCGATGGATCCAAAGCATCAGGGCCTTATGGATTCAATATATACTTCTTTAAGAGATTTTGGGGTGAGATTAAAGGGGAAGTGATGGCATTCTTTGAGGCTTTTTTCAAAGGGAGAATAAAAGATCATTCCTTCAATCAATCGTATATTTCAATTATTCTAAAAAATGATACGCCAAAGAGCATTGATGATTACAGACCTATCTCCCTTGTAGGAAGCATCTACAAGGTCCTGGCTAAAGTGTTGTCGAGGAGATTAGCACGGTGGATCAATAAAGTGATAAGCGTCAACCAATTTGCCTGTCACCAAAAAATAGATTGTGGACTGTGTGTTAACTAATGAAGATGTCGACGATTGTTTTAGAAGGAAAAGAAAAGCAACTCTTCTGAAAGTGGACTTTAGTGTTAGTGTGAAGAATGAATGAAGTTGCTATGCATGGGACATGAGCACACGTACAACTGCAGTTCATGATGGTTGTGTCTACAGCTGATACATTTTAGCTAATCAGTTGGAGCAGTTAATTTGTTGAAGTTAGTTACATCATCAGTTACTGCTATAGTGTTCACTATAAATACACTCCTTGAGACTTGTAATTGATATACTTGGAAATAATGAATTTCAGAAGATTTCTTTCTCTTGTTTGTTTTCTCTGTTCTTGCTTACATAGGTTAGACATCTAGTGATAATCTTTACATGGTATCAGTTGCCAAAACGATCCTGCAATTTCTGGCTTCTTCTTTTCTTGGAGGTTCTTGAAGGTTCTTGCATTTCTTTAAAGATGGTGGACTTGCAACAAGCTGGAGTTCAGTCTCCGGTGAATACCACAGTTACTTCAACGTCATATGGTTCTTCAGTTCTGTCCAGTGTTCAACATATACCCAAACAGGATGTCATAAAGCTTACCGAGTCAACATACCTTCTTTGGAAGCATCAGGTGACCCTTATAATTGATGGTTATGGATTGTTGGCTTACATCTCTGGTGATGGTCCTGCTCCATCTCAGTTTGTTACAAATGAGTATGGGCAGCTTGAGGAAAATCCAGTGTATCCTGTGCATAGGCAACAAGACAAGTTGCTTGCTTCGTGGTTGTTGACAACGGTTAGCATGGAGGTTTTGCCACATCTTACGGGGCTCACATCCTCTCGCACAATCTGGAATGCAGTTTCTAGATTGTTTGGAGTTCGTTCCAGTGCCAAGATTTCTTCTCTCAGACACAGTTTGCACTATCAGAGGAAAGCTGGCTTGACTGTGAGTGATTATTTAGTCAAGATCAAGACAATCTGTGATTTGTTGAATGCTGTAGGTTGTGTTGTACCTGAACAAGAACAAGTAAGTGTGATTCTTGCTGGATTGTCAATGGAATTCGAGTCCATTATTGCTATAGCATCTCATGATGTAGTGTCACTGGATAGCCTCACTGAAATGTTCCTGGATTGTGAGGCAAGGCAGAAAGATTTTTTAAGTGATGGTATTGCTGCAAATATTGTTGTGCAGCCGAAAGAAGAGAAAGGGACAAAGTCTCAGGCTGCCACTGAAACAGATGCAACAGAAAAGTAGTTTTATTCGGGAGGTTAACAGGGAGGCTATCACGGTCGAGGCAGAGGAAGGTTTAACAGTTCAAATAGACCACAATGTCAGTTGTGTAGAAAGTTTGGGAACATTGTTCAGCGGTGTTATCGTCGATTGATCAAGATTTCACTGGACTTGGCAGTGAAGATCAGTCTGCTGAGCTGTGGAAGAAACCACCTGAACAGACAATACCTGTGAATGGACATGCGTATAGTCACACACTGCAATCTCCTGTCTTCTACCACTATCCATCTAGTTTCATGCATGGTATGCCTTATGTTTTGACTCGTCAAGGACTGCCTTACTCCTCGAGTCAAGTAATGAATACCTTCCTTGGGGACTGTGGAACTCATCCTGCAAAAACAGAAGGACAAGAGTCATTTGTTCATACTGCACCTACAGCCTTTGTATCCCCTGTGCCTAGTATGACAGCAACTCACAGTGCTTCAAACCACTCCCATGCTTTGTGGTATCCAGACACTGGAGCCACTCTTCACGTATCAAATGATCTTGTACCGTTCAATTCAGGTATGACATACAAAGGTAACAATACTCTTTTAATGGGAAATGGTGAAGGAATTAAAATTGATCATATTGGTCAAGGCTTTCTATCTTCTAGTCTGAGACCTCTAGTGTTACAGAATATGCTACATGTCCCACACATTAAGAAAAAGTTACTGTCAGTATCTCAATTCACTAGTGATAACAATGTATGTATTGAGTTTCACCCCTTTGAGTGCTTGGTGAAGGATGCACAGACTCGAAACATTCTGTTGAGAGGGAAGCTCACACGTGAAGGTTTATACCAGCTGCTACCATATGAAGAAAAGAAATCGTGTTGCATGGTGAATAATGTGACCAAGGCCTCAAACAGTCTGGAACTTTGGCATAGGCGCTTAGGAAACTCCTGTGAGAAGACTGTCAAAGATGTTATGAAAATGTGTAATGTTTCTTTTAGTGAAAACAAATTGAGCAATGTTTGTTCTGCGTGTTTACAAGGCAAGGCTCACAAGCTACCTTTTTGTAATTCGTTGACTGAATACAAAGAAATTTTTCAGCTGGTTATGTCAGATGTGTGGGGACCTGCTTTTGTAGTTTCGACTGAAGTTTACGTATATTATGTATCGTTTATTGATGTGTTCAGCAGACATACCTGGGTGTATCTAATTAGAAAGAGATCTGAAGTCAGCCAATGCTTTCTCAATTTTGTTAAAATAGCCGAGGTTCAGTTTGGGAAGAAAATCAAAGCATTGCAAAGTGATGGTGGAGGTGAATATCAGGCTCTGAAGAGTTGGTTTTTTACCAATGGAGTACAGCATCGAATCTCTTGTCCCAGCACGTCAGAGCAGAATGGGAAGGCTGAACGTAAACATCGCCATATTGTTGAGATGGGACTATCCATGTTAGCTCAAGCATCACTGCCAATAAAGTTCTGGAGTTATGCCTTTACTATGGCAGTGTATATCATAAACAAGCTTCCATCTGAGGTTATTTCAGGCAAGACCCCGTTTAAGGTTCTCTATCAGAAAGCTCCTGACTACTCAGGAATGAGTGTTTGGATGTGCTTGCTTTCCCTTCTTGAGACCGTTTAATCAACATAAATTGGATTTTCAGTCAAGGCAGTGTGTGTTTCTTGGGCCCAGCACCTCACATCATGGGTACAAATGTCTATACAGTAATGGCAGAGTGTTTGTATCTCGACATGTGAGGTTTGACGAGCAAGTTTTTCCTTTTGATAATAATAAATTTGTGTGCAAGTGCCATAGACAAGAAATTGTCACTACTGGACAATTACCTATATTCTATAATAAGTGTAGAGCCACACTGCTTGGAAATTATCATAATACGCATGGGGTTGGAGCCACCTCATTTTCTGCACATGGTGCCAACATTGGGACCACACCGCTTGGAGCTATACGAGACAATGCTCATGACCATGGGACCATGCCGCTTGGATCCACGCGAGAGATTACGCATGAACATGGGCCATGCCGTTTGAATTAATATCTGTTCACAATAATGCACATAGTGGTGTGCAAATTCCAAGTAATGGGGTCGGCCATTATAGTGGAGCTAGTGCGCATAGTCCAAGCACTCACAATGGAGATGAAATTGTTGAAGGCACACGTGGATACAATAATAATATGCAAGATTTGAATATTAAAAGTGCTCCAACTATTGAAGACTTTAATGCGCATGGTCCACTTTGGGAGCATGGTGCGACGTTAAACAATAATGCACAAGATTTGAGTATTGAAAGTGCTCCACCAATTGAAGACTTTAATGCGCATGATCCACATTGGGAGCAAGGTGTGGCAAACACATGGGTCCAAGGAGAAAATAATGCAAATTTAAATATTGAAAGTGGTGATGGCTCACGTGGGGACAAAGGTGCGGTAAACATAAATAATGAGGATATTTTTAATAGCTATTCGCATGGAATCCAAGAAGAAAATCGTGATGATGAAAATTATGGGAGTAGTTGTAGTGTCAGTGTACATGGGGTCCAAGAAAATCAAGATGGTAGCAATTGTGATGACAGCTCACGTGGAACTTAAGGAGAAAATGGTGCAGTAGAGCCGAGTGTTGAAGTTCAACGCAATGTAGAGAGTGGTATACCACAAGCAGTCTCCAATGTATATCCCATGATAACAAGGAGTAAGCATGGAATCTGGAAGCCGAAAGTTTACAACGTTGCAAGTTCAGATCGAGAACCAACAAGTATAACAGAGGCCCTGATGAGTCCTCATTGGAAAGAAGCTGCACAAGCAGAGTTTGATGCCCTGGTAAGGAATGGCACATGGACTCTAGTTCCTCTTCCTAGAGATAGGAAGGCAGTAAACTGTAAATGGATTTTTCGAGTAAAGAGAAATGTTGATGGCTCGATATCAAGGTATAAAGCGCGTTTGGTGGCCAAAGGTTTTCTTCAAAAACCAGGAATTGACTTTGATGAAGTCTTCAGTCTGGTGGTTAAGCCTACAACGATCAGGGTGATCATTTCCTTGGCGTTGTCACAAGGATAGAAGTTGAGACAAGTTGATGTCAATAATGCCTTTTTGAACGGGTTGCTCACTGAAGAGGTGTACATGACTCAACCACCAGGGTATGAGCAAGGAAATGGTGAGCTGGTATGCAAGCTACACAAGGCGATTTATGGGCTGAAACAAGCACCGAGGGCCTGGTTTGATCGGCTGAAGGCATACTTGGAGTCTGAAGGTTTTTGCCTAGCTAAGTCGGATGCCTCTCTTTATGTTCGAAAGACCTCAGATAGCTTGGTGTACTTACTGGTGTACGTCGATGATATCATCTTGACAGGGGATAAAGAGGTGGTTGTTCAAAGTGTTATAGACAGACTGAATGCTCAGTTTTCGTTGAAGGATCTTGGACCATTGAGTTTTTTCCTAGGAGTTGAAGTCAGTTATGAAGGTTGTGATGTTGTTTTGAGTCAGCAAAAGTACATTCACGACCTTTTACAGAAGCATGGTTTTGCTGGAGTAAAGAGCCTTCCCACTCCCATGGTCTCAAATATCAAGCTATCTGCTAAGGAGGGAAAACCACTTGAAGATGTTGCACAGTACAGAAGCATAGTTGGTGCTCTGCAATACATTGTAATCACTCGGCCTGATGTGGCGTTTGTTGTGAATAGAGTATGTCAATTCATGCAAGCCCCACTGGATGTTCATTTTCAGGCAATCAAACGAATACTTCGTTATCTACAAGGCACAGTTGATTTTGGACTACGGTTTACACCCTCCTCGAGAATGGCTTTGACTGGCTTTGCAGATGCGAATTGGGGTTCAGATGTTGATGATAGGCGATCTACTTCAGGATTCTGTATATATTTTTTGTGGGAACTTGGTCTAGTGGAGCTCTAGAAAGAAACAGGTTGTTGCACGTTCAACTGCTGAGGTTGAATACCGAAGTGTGGCCTGTGCAGCTACTGAGATGGTGTGGCTTCGATCGTTGTTGGGGGAATTACATGTAGTTTCACATGGCAAGGCCACATTGTGGTGTGATAATACAAGTGCAGTGGCAGTATGTGCTAATCCTGTTCTTCATTCCAAGTTCAAACATGTTGAGTTAGATCTGTTTTTTGTTCGAGAAATGGTGGCTATGGGATAGCTACAAGTGCATGAAGTGCCTGCAGTCGAGCAAGTTGCTGATGTGCTGACCAAGCCTTTATCAGCACCTTTGTTTTTCAAACACAGACAACGGTTGCTGGTGATGCAGCTCAAGAGCAGATCAATTTGAGTTTGATGGAGGCTTGAAGTTGAAGGTTGCAAGGGGAATGTTAGTGTAAATGAGCATTTGTTCAATTTGAGTTTTTGAAGGAGTTTTGAAGTTGAAGGCTGCAAGGGGAATGTTAGTGTGAAGAATGAATGAAGTTGCTATGCATGGGACATGAGCACACGTACAACTGCAGTTCATGATGGTTGTGTCTATAGCTGATACATTTCAGCTAATAGTTGGAGCAGTTAATTTGTTGAAGTTAGTTACATCATCAGTTACTGCTATAGTGTTCACTATAAATACACTCCTTGAGACTTGTAATTGATATACTTGGAAATAATGAATTTCAGAAGATTTCTTTCTCTTGTTTGTTTTCTCTGTTCTTGCTTACATAGGTTAGACATCTAGTGATAATCTTTACATTTAGAAAGGCGTATGACTCTATTGAATGAAGTTTCCTTGATCTAGTTTTGAGGAAAATGAATTTCGGTTTAAGATGGAGGAAGTGGATTAAGTTGTGTATTTCATCCACTTCAATCTCAATATTAGTGAATTGTGTTCCGTCGAAATCTTTCAAGATTAGGAGAGGGCTACGACAGGTATGTCTGTTGTCCCCACTTCTGTTCAACCTGATCGCTGAAGCATTAAGCTGCTTAATTCGGAAAGTGTCAAAAGTTAATTTATTTGAAGGAATTAGGGTGGATAATTCGGAGGCTCCTATGACCCATATACAGTTTGCGGATATCATTTTGGTGTATACTCTCCTAAGTCGTTTTGTCAAAATACAGTCATAGAAGATTCCAAAAGAGTAGGAATTTGGAAGATGGTGTGGGAGATCAATGTCCCTCACAAGGTAGCTGCTTTTTTTAGGTTGTGTTGAATAGAATCTCGATTTGTGTTGAGTTAGCCAAAAGAGGAGTTGTGAGTTCGGACAAATGTTTATGCGTTCTTTGTCGTAAGGAAGTGGAATCAGTAAATCATATTTTTTGTCAATGCAATGTGATTTGGTTGGTTTGGAAGAAATGGTTTTCAAAGTGGAACCTCTAAGTTCTTAGTCCAGGTGATTTTAGATCCCTAATGGAATTATGGTTTGTCAGCTCGATTTTCAAATCGAGCCAGTTCATGTGGAACATTGCGTTCTTTGGTATTAATTGGTCGATATGGTTGAGTAGAAATGAGTCGCTGTTTAAGAATAAAAATTACGAGTGCATACAAAATCTTTGAATTTGCGTTAAGCAGGCAGCGTTCTGGAGTCGGTGCTCTAGGCCCGATTTTTGTTTTTCTACACTTGATTTCTGTAGGAGTACGAATGAGTTAATTAAACTGAAGTAATTATTGGGAGTGGGTTTTGGGGTCTGCTGGTGTCTTTGTTTTTTAGTCGCAGCCCTTGGTTTTGATCTTTGTTTTTGGTTTTTACGATATAATGTTGTTATTATTTATAGCTAAGAAGTGTATTAGGCTAGTTTCAAGTAGCTTGTTAGGAGCGAATATGTTTTGCTGCGGTAGTATCTTGCTTGGTATACGGTCGACCGAATCCATGGTTTTCGTAAGTGCAGGAACAGTTTTTTCATTGTTGAGGTAAAGCATAGTGGTGTTCCATAGCGTGAAGCTTAAAGGGTAAAACAAGGTCAATGCCCTTGAAAGCTGTTGGATTCAGATGGCTTGGTGGTATATGGCTTTCATACTGGTAGTATGGCTTAATGTTTTGTTGTTCGAGTGGCCATGCAAGGGATCCTGGTTCTAGTCATTTTGTAGAAAAGGAGTTTATGGCGCTATCATTGTGGTTTGCCCCTAGTGGTGTCTGAAAGTTTGTTGTCTTGAGCAAGAGGTTGTCTTGTCTAATCGTGTGGCATCAGAGTCAAAAATTTATCTTGATCAATTAATCATAACTCGAAGTACCTCAAATCCAAAATTACCTTAATATGAATAAATAGAACTTATAATGACCCAAACCTAAAACAGTTAAGAATTTAAAATTGACCCAAACCTCATCTGATTGGATGAAAAATTGATGAGACCTGAAGTGATTCAAAATAGGATAAATTATATGTTTAGTATCTAAACTATTAGTATTGAACTGTTTTAATACCTAAATTTTTAATTTTTTCAAAATTATACCTAAATTTTAGTTTTTATTTTATTTTACTACCTATATTAAAAAAATTTAACGTTAAATTTTGAAAAAAATAAATGTGTAGGTATTAAAACGAATTAAAATTGATATCTTAAGTACTAAATGTGTTAAATTTTTAACGATGTAGTATTAAAATGAAATGAAAAATAAACTTTAAGTATATTTAAAAAAAATAAAAATTTAATTATTAAAACAGACTAAAATTAACAAATTAACAAATTAAATAAATACGTAATTTATCTTTAATTTTTTTTAAAGTCTTAAAAATATTTGTACCCAAAAGAATTAGGGTATGTTTAATAAAAAGCCCAATAGCAAGAGAGGGCCACAAGAAAACTTATGCCTACCACCAGAAACGCAGATCTAAAATAAGAAGATCCATTAAAGTTGAGCAATAGGAAGATTTGAGCCATTGGCCATAGTCCCCCATTCCCAACTACCCTAGTGATTTGAAGCACCTGATTGGTCCGAACAACTCACCCACCCAGTCAAAACTCGCCAACTCGCCCTTCTTTATGCATCCGCCAACTCCCACCCTCTCTTGAATGTGTTATTTTGACTCGAGATTCAAATTTTCGTTTTTGGGTTAATTAGTTTCAGTGAAGGAAACAATTCTAAATCATGTTTATCTTTGATTGGTTCTATGGGATTCTTGCATCCCTTGGTTTATGGCAGAAAGAGGCCAAGATCTTGTTTTTAGGGCTTGATAATGCCGGCAAAACGACGCTGCTTCACATGCTCAAAGACGAGGTATTCTCATAATTCACCTTTTATTCATTAATTTGTTTTGTTGATCTCAGTTCTCATTTTGGGGGATTTGATTTCTGTATAATATTGTTGTTTTTTCTGATTGAGTTCTAATTTTTCTGATCTAACATGATTTGAATGCTATGGAAAGTTTAATTCAAAGTACGGCTATATAACATGTTCTGTTCTGAACCCACTGAGGGGATGGAATGTTGTTCTCTGAGAGGCCTAGGGTTCGAGCAGCCCTGCATAGTGTGAGTGTTATCAATGGTTAATAGAGATTTTGAATCGATACTACCTTGTCATCAGTCGAGAATATTAAAAAATATGATATTTTCTTGAAATATTGATGGGATTATAACCATGTAGCTGGAAATTTTGATTTATAAAAGGAAGAATATGTATGGTTGTTTGCTTTTTTCCCCTCTTTTTTCTATAATAAGTTGATTTATAGTTTGTTTTTTAATGGGATTTGGCAGAGATTAGTTCAGCATCAGCCTACACAGCATCCTACATCAGAGGAATTGAGTATTGGGAAAATCAAGTTTAAGGCTTTTGATTTGGGAGGCCATCAGATTGCTCGAAGAGTTTGGAAAGATTACTATGCCAAGGTAGATACTTTTACCTACAAGTTCATGTGATTTTTTTTTTGTTTCCAGACAACAAACTATGCACTTTTTTTTGCAAATTTTAGTCATCATTTCATATATATATATATATATATAGAGAGAGAGAGAGAGGGAAAAATAGACGGATGAGATTATCAATGGGAAATGAGAAGATATTCACTGAAAAATCCAGATATTCTCAGTTGTCTATTTTCACTCATCCAACTTCTTAAATCAATGTAAAACTTTTTTTAGTTTTACGTAGTGTAACTAGATCCTAATCCATGCAGTGTTTTCAAGGCATGTTCTTAGATGTGCCTGTTCCACGCACCTTAGCACTAGACAACGGAAGCGCCTCACACCCTTTTGGGCAAGTCCCATTTAACCAGGCACAGGCTTGGTGGTGCGTTTCGGGATGCTTTTGTAATTAGATATACCTTTACTGGTGCGAAAGAGAGAAGATTCGAGTCTATACTTCTCAACCAGAATGCCTGTTTTCTTTTTCTTGAGAGCATAGTTGAACTGATATAAAAGTTGATTGGTAGGTGGATGCTGTTGTTTACCTGGTGGATGCTTATGACAAGGAGAGGTTTGCTGAGTCTAAAAAGGAGTTGGATGCTCTCCTCTCCGATGAATCCTTGGCTAATGTTCCATTCCTGATATTGGGCAACAAGATCGATATACCATACGCTGCCTCAGAAGACGAGTTGCGTTATCACCTTGGCCTGACGAATTTCACCACCGGAAAGGGCCAGGTGAACTTGGGAGACTCAAACGTTCGCCCCCTCGAGGTATTCATGTGTAGTATCGTTCGAAAAATGGGTTATGGAGATGGTTTCAAGTGGGTTTCTCAATACATTAAGTAGGTAGGTATAGAGAATTCAGATATGCTATGTTTTCTTTCTCAATGTTATATCTGTACCGACTTCAGTAGGGTTATCCCTTTTCACTTTTGCTTCCATTTTTGTTTGAATCGATAAACATACTTTCCATCTATTTGCCCCTTCGTTGTCCATTGTTGCTTATCAATATGCATCCTTGTGATTCAACCAAGACTCAATTTAGCAGATAGGAATGACTAAAATCCTTTTTGATTTCTGCTATCTCCAATTTATAGGCAGGATTGTATATTAAATATATTACAATGATGTGCATCATCCTAAGAAGCAATGTAACATGCTACAATAAAATCTGGAAACAGTTACTATCGGGTCATTGCATATTTATCATGATTGCGGCAATAGTGAATGTTATTACAGGGATTATAGGTATCCATGATTGCGGCAATAGTGAATGTAATTACGGTGATTATAGGTATCGTGATTGTGAAATAATTGTTTTGGATGGTATCTTTATTTTAAAAAAGCGCAAAGTGCACTGCAAAGCTCACACCTTCTATATATTAATTTTATAATATATACACATCCATTATTCATCAGTTCACTCTTCAAGCATTTAATCTATTTCACTATTGTTATTTAAATATTATTTAATTTAATATTTTTATTATTTTAAAATTTATTATATTCACAACCTATATTTCACTTAGTCTTACATAAATACATTTCACTTGGTTTTACGGTGAATATAAACTCAATTTCACTTAGTTTTACAGTGAGTAGAAATTCTGTAAGAGACCTTAATAAAGAAAAAAATACATAAATGATTTATTGGAAAATAAAGTGATGATTTTGAGAGTGCATGTCTATGATTGATTCTATGAAGACTTGGTATTTAAGCCTACCTAGTGTGTCATCTCTCTTTCATAGAAACTTATATGGTGCACGGTTCATTATTATGCTCACTATTCCAATTTTATAAAATACTATGACAAGTTAAAAACTCTTAAAATTTAGTGCATAAATTAAAAAAGTAGAGATTAATTTGATTGAGTAGAATACAAAATTTTGTCACAGTAAATAAATATATGATGGTCTCTTTAGGGTTAACATGTTGAATATTATGAATGAAAAAGTGATTGACACTAGTGCTACTAAAAAGATGGTTTATAGTCATTGAGTATATTCTTAAATAAAGGAATTGAAAGAAATTAGTATATTAATAAATAGAGGAACTGAAACAAATTATCTATCCTAAGGAGTTGTTGAAATCTCTTTGTGAAATACTTGAGATAATTTTCTCGTTGTTAGGAAAAGTTAACAACTCTCAATAAATATTGTTATAATATTCATAGTTTCCTGAACACCTTTTATGAAGAGTTAGAAAAATCAAAATTCTTTTTGAATGAGAAAAAGTCGTGGAAGACTAAAATGAGATATAAAGAATTTCGTAATTGTTTGAGAATACAATCATGTATAAACAAATTTTGTGTTTGTTAAAGTATAATTTTATGGTTAAAACTAATAACAAACTTTACTCAAGTATGAATGAGTAAATGTGCAAGGGAACTTGTTTATACATTATCCAAGACACTTATGAATTTATTTATATCTTAAAATGTTATAAATGTGAAGTGTCTTGAAATGATGATCCAAGTGCGAGAAGAACCTAGTTGATCCTCTTACTAAATGTTAAAGTCGAAAACTTATTCTTGATTCGTCGAAGGAATGAGTTTAAAGCCCATTGGTTGAGGAATTCATGGTGGAGAACCAACTTAGTTATCTAAGTTCAATGTGATCAAACGAAACTATGGAAAAACTCATAACGTACATTTCTACTTACATATCTCTATGACGAATAATGTACATGCACAATAAGAGCTTAATTACTCTTAATAAATTCATAGCCTAGGCTTTGAGTGGTCTTAGTGAGAAAGACTTGATGAATTTACCTATTTTTGATTGAATATATATTCTTAATATGCTTCTAACCCAGTGTTGAGTGAGTAATCTTAATCATAAAGTATTAAATGAACTTACCGCTAGAGAGAATGAGTTTTATTAAAACGCTAAATGAATTCAAACCTAGTGTTGTGCAAACGTCACAGTGATCTTATAACCAAATAACGCAAAAAATGGGTTAAGTGCTTAAGTAGTGGATTTACCTATTCTTAAAGGAAATATAGTCCATCCTTGAAATGTTCCACACAGTTTTTTTTTAGTAGGTGTTTATTAGTAAATAGAAAGATACACTTATTATAAGAGATCCATTAAAAAAATCTACCTAAATCTAAATGGAGAAAAAAAGAGTGAAACAATAACAATGGCTCATAAAGACACCAACCCAGTTGAGAACATAAAAATGATATCCCTAGGTACTGACCCCACAATCCCACCGCAAATAAGAACAAACAAAATTAGAGGAGGGACAAAGCCACTGAGCCCAGTCGATGATGATTGAACAGAGCTATGGGGTCTACGATCCCCTTAGTACAATCAGACAGCGCCCAAGGCTAAGATTGCTCCACCCAACTCAAAAACCAAGACAAAACCCCATAGTCAAGTACCATCGAGAGCCTCCCCTGGACAAAAGCTGATCCAATCGCCCGCTTTGGTAGATGGTCAACTGTCGTGTTGCACCTTCTAGAGATATGCTTAACGACAAACTTTTCTTGAAGAATTATCGATGAAACAGGGATGAGGATGTAAGCCCATTTTGGAGGAGCGAGGGAGGGGAACTGCAGTCAGTTCACCACTTCAGTGTAATCACTTTCAATAATTAGGTCAAAAACCTTAAACCATTTGGATCCCATGAACAACTTAATAGCTTGGAGAACGACCAGAATCTTCACTTCCACCGAGGACTCGCACCCAATTGGAACCGAGAAAGAAAGAAGCGAGATACCATCAATATCATAGAGAACCCCGCCAATACCTCCGCCACCCATGTCCACCTGCATCGCACCATCTAAAATAAATTTTAAAGAGCCTCTCGGGGGAGGAAGGCAAGACTGATGTGAGATCACCAATTTCTTTACCAGTAAGGAATCATCCAGAGTGCTAAATCCGCTACCAAATTTCCCAAGCTAAACGGGGAGGCAAGGTACTTGGCCTTCAACCAACGAGCAACTCGATATTTTATGAGAAATACCAATTGAAGCCTTTCAAGTTTCTTACCATTAAAAATCAATTCGTTTTGATGTAACCAAATAGACCATATAGCAACGAAAGGCAATGTGCTCTAAACTTTCGATGCAGCTTGAAGAGGAGAGTCTCACTCCAGACCACCATGAAATTAATAGGATCAATCTGGAATACAACTGAGACCCCCCATAGTGTGAGAAGAATAAGTGTTCAATAGATTCCAAAAATTTCGAGCAAAATGGGCATGTCTAATCTAGCAACCCGACCCTCTCCTTTTAAGTTCAGCCCTTACCAGTACTCTCCGCTGAAACATTCTCCAAACAAATGCTTTCACTTTGGAGGGAGCAATTCCCACCCAAAAAAGTTTATTCCAATTAAACTGGACTAGCCCGCTTGGATATTTAAGAAGCGATGCTGATTTAATTGAAAATAATCCGTCAATCGAACCAAGCCATTTGACTCAGTCCGAAGATGACGACGAGCTCATAAAGTTGTTGAGCGCACGAAACAGTGCATCCCATTACTGCTTTTCCCAATAAAAAGCAACCCTTCTAAGCAATACCTTCCAACACCATCCCCGATTATTTTTCGGAAAAAACTCCATTATTGGTCACAGCGTTTTTGAAGAGCCAAAAGGAATGCCTCCCGTGAGAGAACAAGAGCACGCCATCACCCTTAAGCCAGATGATACCCCAATGAACTTAAGACCTTATAGGGTTTCTCATCATCAGAAAATTGAAGTGGAGAAGCAGGTGGTTGGAATGTTGTCCTTAACCATAATTCAGGTAAACAAAAGTTCTATTTCTTCTTACTTACTAGTTAGGAAGAAAGATGAATTTTGGAGACTTTGTATGGATTATAGGCAATTGAGTTCACTTACGGTTAAGAATAAATTCCCTACACCTATGGTTAAGGATCTATCGGATGAATAGCATGTGGTTGTCTATTTTTTAAAAATTGATTTGCGGTCTAGATATTGGAAAATTAGGATCAATGAGAAGGGTATATCTAAGACTAAATAGCAAAACATAACTTATCACGTAGTGGACAACTTGAGCAAAAAAAAAAAAAAAAAAGAGAGGCAGAAAACAGAATCAACTCAACCCCAACACAAATGCATAACAGAGCAAAAACACACTACAACATCAAGAACACCATTGGGCATATTCGAACTACACCTTCCTTAGTGTAAATGCTATTCGATCAATCTCAACTACAAAGCTCACCACATCCATGTTCACACTAATACACAGGTACATAACACCCCAGTCCAAAATTTCTTCACTCTTTAGGATATAACACCCTTTAACTATTTACGCAAGCAAGGAACGAATATAACAGCTTCAGAAAAACTTCTTCAAACCTCGCACCCCCCAAAGAGAAAACACTAATGATTTGCCTTTCAATTGGTTTTTAAACCAATCCACAACTCAACTTCTCGACCACTTGCAATATCTATCACCAAGTTTTGACAAGGGTTGTGCTGAAAACCTTTCTTTGCAAAATAATCACCATTATATATGGTGATTTAGAAAATCTATACTACTACTGACTGCTTCAAAATATCTTTGACCCAAAGCAAATGAATTTAACTTCCACCAAATACAGATAAGAAAAGGATTGCAACTCTCAATGGAATGAATAAACACGATTGCCCATCATCTGACTTACACTAAAAGCTACACTTAGCACTGCTTTCGTAACTCCACAAAGCTACTTATTCACAATGGACCATGACGATTTGCACCCATATTCCTCTCAAGATCATTTGGTCTTACTAACGAACCTGCTACTTTCCAATCTTTAGCGAACAAACTTTTCAAACAGTTTCTGAGGAAATTTGTATTAATTTTATTTTATGATATATTGGTATACAATTTAAGCCTACAAGATCACGCTAAACATCTCAGAATAGTCTTATCTATTCTTCAAGATCATGGATTATTTGCCAAAAGAAGTAAATGGTTTTTTGGACAACCATAAGTGAAATACTTAGGCCATCTGATTTATTCA